AGTGCGTTGTATTTGGGTGAAGGAGGTAGTAGTACTAGTAGTAGTAGTAGTAGTAGTAGTAGTAGTAGTAGTAGTAGTGCGTTGTATTTGGGTGACGGAGGTAGTAGTAGTAGTAGTAGTAGTAGTAGTTGTAGTAGTAGTAGTAGCAGTAGTAGTATTAGTAGTCGTAGCTGTATTGGGGGTATCTTTCAGTCTAAATACAGCAATAGTGACCGTGCGTTGAATTTGGGTGAAGAAGGTAGTAGTAGTAGTAGTAGTAGTAGTAGTAGTAGTAGTAGTAGTAGTGATGTTTCTCAGCCTCGGCACACACCCACGTGGAGGCCTCTATTTGGAGTATCTTTCAGTCTAAATACGTATTGCTTGAGAGGTGAAGGAATACTTACACTACAACTTTCCTGAAGGCATCTTACACTTGTATTAGTAGTAGTCGTAGTAGTTAGCTTTCTCAGCCTAGGCACACACCTACGTAGAGGCCCTGTATTTTTTCTACTTTTGATGGGAATCTGAGTTCAGTTCTCGTCTGATATACTACTGTTCGTCTTTGTTCTGTTGCGGCTGCACCTCCTGTATGTTTTTTATGATACTAATTTGAATTTGAGTTTCGCCCCTGTGTCTGCTGCCAGTTCGTTTCTTTTTTTTATTTTTTTATTTACAGCCTGTTCGTTTCCTCCTTGGCCTTGATTCTAGTTGATTCTAGTTCCAATTTGTTCCAGTTGTTCCTCCCAGCGGCCAGTGCCACTCTCGTCATACCGTCTTCCCCCGAATAGAACGTACGGTCATTATCGTTGTATTTGGAACAACTTTCAGTCCAGATACAGCGAGAATGACCGGACGTTTTATTCGGGGGAAGTCGGTAGTGCTGGGGACCAATACCAGTTCCACCTGTTCCCCTGCTGCCAGTTCCATGCTCGTGCTGGTCCTACCTTTTTTGGTTCTTATCCTTGTTTCCATTTGCCCCAAACAATGGCTTATCTTCTGTGTATTTTTATTATCTACTTCCCTCCGCCTCCGCCTCCGCCCCCCCTTCGCCCTCCCCCCTCCCCCCTCTCCTTCCGCTCTTCCTTTTTCTTTTGCGGAGAGTTTTTTTTGATTGGCAGGACTGGAATTGAGCTCTTTGTGTGTTTGCCTCTGGTGTGGTCGCCCATGCTGCTGTGACCATGCATTTGAGTGTGGTTTTTGTTGTTCTTTTTTTTTTTTTTTTTTTTTCCCCTTGCTCTTTCTTCTTTTCGGTTTTTGTTGTTCTTTTCCCTTCCCTTTTTTTCTAGAAAAAAAGGGCAACGGCCTTGAGATATCATCTTTGAACGGACCAGCCCCATGTTGAACGGACCAGCCCTATGTGAACTTAGTCATTTTCACTTATCTGGTTCCATCAGACCTCGAACTCAGGTCTGTGTTTCAACATGCCAACTTCATGGGTTTACCACCTGATTTGTCTTTTTTTTTTTTGTTTGTTTTTTTCCCCCACCTGGATTGGGCCAGTTGATGATCTCTTTTTTTTTTTTTTTTTTTTTTTCCTGCTCTCTCTCTCTCTCTCTCTCTCTCTCTCTCTCTCTCTCTCTCTCTCTCTCTCTGTCTCTCTCTCTCGCTCTCTCTCTAATTTTTAATTTTTAGGGTTTTTGGTCTACTTTGACTTTGAGAGTTGTCTTTCTTTGACATTTTGAAATTTTTTCTTATAACAATAATTAAAACTTGATCTCTTTTTTTTTTTTTTTTTTTTGTTCCTGGGACGAAAACAGGGGCAGGCCAAGATGTTGGCAAAAGTTGTATAGTGGTGACCCTCGGTGGAAGGACAATCATGTTCGATTGTGGAATGCACATGGGATACAGTGATGAGCGGAGGTTTCCAGACTTCAGTAGCATCACCAAGACGGGCAATTTCACTGATGTGGTTGATGTTGTCGTCATCACTCATTTGTAAGTCGTTGACTCTTGCCTGCAAGGCTCTATATGTGTTTGACTACCACAGATTTCAAATTTGTTCCCCCCCCCCCCTCCCCCTTCTTTTCTTTTCCTCGACAGTTTCTTTATTTTTCATGAGGTGAGAAAAATTGCCCAGACTTTTAGGCTGTAGGGTTTAGGGTTGCAGGTGCAAAGCAATTTCACTGATGTGGTTGATGTTGTCGTCATCACTCATTTGTAAGTCGTTGACTCTTGCCTGCAGGGCTGTATATGTGTTTGACTACCACAGATCTCAATTTGTTTTTTTCTTTTCCTTTTCCCTCTTCGTTTCTTTTCCTTGACAATTTCTTTATTTTTCATGATGTGCATAAATGCCCCACCGACGGGAAAAAAAAATTTGCCCAGACTTTTAGGCTTTAGGGTTTAGGGTTGCAGGTGCAAAGCGATTTCACTGATGTGGTTGATGTTGTCGTCATCACTCATTTGTAAGTTGTAGACTCTTGCCTACCACAGATCTCAAATTGTTTTTTTTTTGTTTTTTTTTTTCCCTCTTCGTTTCTTTTCCTCGACAATTTTGACGGGAAAAAAAAAATTGGCCAGACTTTTAGGCTTTAGGGATTAGGGTTGCAGGTCCAAGGACTTGAACCCACAGCCTGAAACCACAAAGTGCATAAGCTACTGCTGCTTTATCCCCCGGCGCACGTCCTGTTCCCAATGTTTCAGTTATTTGTGTGAACTTATTTCTGTCTTCTTCGTTTTTGATCTCCCACTCCCCCGAGCACTGTTTCCAGCAATGATTAGGATTTCGCTGTCGGTAGATTCCACCTTTCCCTGTCTCCCTCTTTCTCTCATGTAGCTTCCGAAAAAGGGACCCGTGCTCATCTTTGAAGTCAACGATTCACAGTTGCATTTCAGAAGTGGTGGAGGGGGGGAGGAGATGGAAGGGGGGTGATGATGGGGGCCTCGGAACTCAACCCCCTCCACTTTTCGCAGGGAGTAGTAGATTAACTGCGCCTCTCCTGCCGTTTGCAATTGTTGTTGCTGCATAAAACAGGATTTGATCTCCTGACCTGTGGATTTGACAGGTTGGTGCAGGTCTTTTTGTGCCATTCAAGCACCGTGAACACAGTGGAAAGAAGCAATCTACATTCCATGGAAGTGGGTGAAGATGGGGGGGTGAAAACACAAAGCCCTCCACATATCCCAGGGAGTAGTAGCCTACCTGCTCGAGTGCTGTTTGTTGTTGTTGTTGTTGTTGTTGTTGTTGTTGGTGGTGGTGGTGTATCAAACAGGATGTGTTCTCCCGACCTGCTGATTATTTCACTGGTAGCCTGTAGGTCACGTGGTGGAAAGAAGAGAGAAAATGTGCATTTCTTCCTTGACTTGATAAACGGGACGAGAAAGGTCTCCATTGTCATTTGCTGGACTATGTTATGGCCCCAACGCCTGAAGTTGATGTTGGCATCCCTGAGAAAAGTAATGACGATGGCGGAAGCTATTTTCTTTTAATAATGGAATGTTTTCTATGCATACCAGGTCGCCTTCTCAAAGATGGATTTTTCGCATGCCGTTATGCTTAGGGTAAATTCAGTCTAGAACTATCTCGCATGCACCTAGCTGCAATTAGAGCCAGACTCGGGCCAAATTTTGTAGCCTGATGCATAAGATGGTAGTGGTCTTGTTCTGTCTTCCTGAGAAGCAAGTCCTGTAGGATGCCGCAGAGGCTCTGCGTTTTTTGGGTGTTGGCAAAGGGAATGAATGCAGAAAGAGTTTGAAGACAGAAATGTAGTACTGATTGGTCAAGTGGTTGGCCGGTTGGTTGGTCGGTCGGTTGGTTGGTTGGTTGGTGGTTTGGTCAGTCGGTGGGTGGGTTGGTCAGTCGGTGGGTGGGTTGGTCGGTTGGTTGGTTGGTCGGTTGGTCGGTTGGTAGGTCAGTTGGCTGGTGATTTGGTCAGTCGGTGGGTCCGTTGGTTGGTCGGTCCGTTGGTTGGGTGGTTGGTCAGTTCGTAGGTCAGTTGGCTGGTGTTTTGGTCAGTCGGTGGGTGGGTGGGTTKGTGGGTCGGTCGGTGGGTTGGTTGGTTGGTCGGTCGGTTGGTAGGTCAGTTGGCTGGTGGTTTGGTCAGTCGGTGGGTCCGTTGGTTGGTCGGTTGGTTGGTTGGTTGGTTGGTCAATTCGTAGGTCAGTTGGCTGGTGTTTTGGTCAGTCGGCGGGTGGGTGGGTTGGTGGGTCAGTCGGTGGGTGGGTTGGTCGGTCGGTTGGTTGGTCGGTCGGTTGGTAGGTCAGTTG